AGTTTCGCAAAGTCATCACCCTTGTAAGGGTAGTGTTCAACTTTCTGGTCTGCATCTGAGTCCTTGAAGCTGTGGAATAATGCCTGTCCTGGTCCAATTCGATGTACAGAATAAATTTATTTGCAATGGTAATTCTAGTGTAATCTATAGATCTCAGAAAAAGTTTACCTGCATTCTCGCAGTTCTATCCATCTTGCGGTCCCAGTTCTCGACTTAAGTTGCCATGTTTGGCCTAGAAATATATTTCACCACCGAATATTTTTTGATGTAAAGACATTGAATTTGTTTTTTAACCCTTCCTAAGCACAAATAGCAAATTGGCGGTTAAGAACCAACAAAGTTGCGAGAGATCACAGCTTGCTAGCTGAGCTATTCAAGCACGGAGTGAGGAGTTGACAAGTTACACGCATAAATCTTTATGAAGAATACGGTATTTCGAAATGATCTGCGAAAGATATACTGGCCTTTGCACGTTGGTGATTCTTGGATTACCTGGTCTTTCTGTAACAGGAAGCTCACTTTTTTGTTCTTCATTTTAAATGGAAAGGAAGTGTCCTCCATTATAAAGATTTTTATGAACCAATGCTTAAAAATCATCAATTCTAGGCTTTGCAGATATCCCACTGATGGAAATAAAAGCTTCGGCAAATTTCATAGCTAAAACAGGGGTTTTTTGCCCGAATGAATCACAACTGGAGTAGTTAAATCGCTTCATGCGCGCCGAGGTCTAGTCCTCATCAATTCAAACTTAACCTACCCCTTCCATATAGATATCTCCTCTAGTAAACTTTGTTGCCTCTTGGGCTTGCTTCAAAAACAGTTGTTCAGCCAAAGCTTGCCATTTTGCTTCCAAAGAATCTGTACGCTTATCTTTACTATCAAAATATTAAAAAAGTTCAATTTAGTGTGAGGGAGACAAAGGAGAAGGAAAACAATAAACTAGTTTGCCGCATTTCCAAACCACAGCGATAAAAGTTTTGCATTATCTACAATTGTTTTTTTTTTTTTTATACGAAGACCAGCACCACAATCCGCACGTCTCATCACCTGTCTAGTTTGACTGAATCAATAACACAACCGGAGACGCTGCAAAACATTGTAGCAACTAATGCCCTATGTGTATGTACATAGGACTCTCGAGTGGTATGTATGTATAAACATCTCTGTGCTAAATGCAAAGTAAGCAAAAAAGGAGTACCTACAGTGGTCACCTGGTAGATGGACTAGAAGTGTTTCTTACCACAGCGGTGAGCAGCTGCAACTGCACGCCAACCACACTGTCTCCTCGTTCACATGCTCGTCTGCATGTATGTGTCAGCAGTGTGTCGTCGCCATCGTCGTCAATAGCCAACGGCAAATTTTACAATCCTAGCTGCCTGCTCATCTTCCGGATCAGTCATTCGCAGTCATCCACAAAGACAGAGCAGTTTCGCAATGGCGTTTAGTTTGCTATTACAGAACAGCCTATTTTGCACTACTCAACGATTGGAAGCTCTGCTGAGCAGCCAGTAACAAGTAGCAACTAGTCGAAATGGTTTGCAATTACACTGGAGCAATTTTCATGTCGCTTTTTTATGCGAACGTACAAAGAAACGCGCGTATGTATGTTATGTATTTAAGTGCTAGGCGCAAAAACTGGCAGGTGGACAATGATTTGAACATATCTGTTGAGAAGTGAGCGAGCGAGCAAGCGAATGTAGATATCCACTACCAGCGGACTATGAAGAAAAGTTGGCTACATTGTTGTGAACAATTTTAGGGCGGAGGCTCAATTAAACTCATTATCGTTTAGAACTTAGTATACATATGCCCGAATGTATGTATAGTTAAATGTGCCCTGGCGGTGTAATGTTTATTCCCAACGCAAATTATAGTCTACATTGACTGCGTTTAATTGCTTCTAGGCTACACTGAACCTAATCATTTTAATTAGCTCGTGTAAATTATGCAAATGGATATCTTTCACTAGCCCGTTATCATATATACTCATGAATTCAAAAGCCGTGAAAGAAATTAATAGTATTATGCTCCCGTAGAATCGTTACAAGTCGCGCTAATTACTTCACAGTTTATTAATTTTTTTAATCGTTGGGATTTGATGCAGCAATGAGGCTTCGTTACGATAACCCCAATGATTTTGTCACTCAACCTCTTCTGGAATGTAACTACCACAGCATGCAGACGCAGTAACATAAGGCTAGCTTCGCAAGAAAGAGCCAACAAAAACTTGCGCTGAAAATACTCATAAATATACCGGCTTCCCTTTGACAAACACTTAAGAGAGTGGCCGAAAAACTTTAGAGATTAAAAATATTTTTAAGTGATCCATAGAAAGGGAGTTACCTAGTCGGAAACCTCGTTTGGTATCTAACGGCTCGGAAAGTCAACGTCATTTTACACAGTCGTATACCTAATTCAGACTGGCAACATAAAGACAACTTCTCTTCATGCTGTCGAAAGCGGCTTTGAAATCGCCAAATGCATGGTGTGTCTCGACCCTACTCTCGCGTGTCTTTTCCAAGATTTGGCGTATTGTATTGGCATCTCTACTTACCTAAAATAAAAAATAATGCTAACTTTCCAGGGTTTACTGCGGAACCCAGCACCGCGGTTATTATCTCTGAACGGCCGTTGGCTTCAGAGGACTTTATTGATGTAAATAGGGTAGACTGGGCCATAAAGTCCTCCCAGCCCTACAAATATCCAGACATGGATAGTATTTTCCCTGCCGAACTTTAGTCAGCATCTGGAGTTTTATATCCGATACTTACCTTAATCTATACGGCTTGTCTTAGTTTCATACCCAAGGGTTGGACCCTGGCCAAAGTTGTGTTCATTCCCAAGGTAGGTAGACGCTCCCACGTGAAGGTAAGCGACTTTCGATCAGTAAGCCTTACTTTTTTCTTTCCCAAGGTTCTGGAAGGACTTATAGACTCGCAAGTCTAACAGAAAATTTATATAAATAAGCTTTCTAGCTGTCAACATGCCTATTGGAAAGGTAAATCTATGGATACAGCTTTGCGTAGTATTGTCAGTACCATTGAAAAGGCGCTCGATTTTAAGGAATTTGCATAAGGCATGTTTCCAGATAACCCGCCTTGAACTGGGTCACCCCCAAGTGAAGTTTGTTTATCGCCTCTTAGGCAGTAGAGCTATATAATGGGAGATGGGGGAGGTTCCATGACAAGATTTGCAAGCCGGGGCAGTCCAAAATTAGGTGTTCTCTCCCTATTCCTTTGGAATATTACGGTGTACACTCTGATGTCAGGTTTGCAGGGTACAGACTGCCAAGTCATTGCGTACGAGGATAATCTTGCCCTAATGACAGTTGGTAAGCACCCACAGGTTCTATCAAATGGAGTAGCACGAGGTTTGGACACTATAGAATTTCGGAAGATTTCCAGTAGACTTCAGGCGCCTTGAATACACAGTCCCGCCTACTGGATTAAGGAATCACTTCCATACAAGGGTCCACTCACAAGGACTCTCACTTAGTTTTAGTTTTCGTCTTGCAGATCTCTCTCGCTTTTGCGAGGGCTAGTCGATGCTCGTTCCTCCATTATTCTTTTGAATTTCTGGCTGAACGGGATTCAGCCAGTATCTATGATTTTGTGCGCTTCATAAGAGCTACGAAGTGGTTCCATTTCTAAGGTAAGAGGAGGGGCATATAAAGTCTCTAAAATTACATCACAACGAGCCCATGGTGGCCTAAGTGTGCCCTTTTCCTGCGAGGGATGAGGGCAGCCGCGATAACCTTACCTAACCTACCTAAAACGTATTGTGGCTAAAACGTATTGTGTGCTCTATAGTTACGGTTTCGAAACCAGACTGGCATCTTCCAAGAAATACTTGTACACATAATGAATACTTATGTATGTACCAACTTTAAATTTTTCCCTCAAAAGCATACAATTTTATTTATTTCCATACGTTTAGAACACCTTTACTGACATTTCTTTAAAACACAAATCTACCTTCTCTCCTCTGAATAATCATCATCATCTTCAGGGTCAGCATCGTCGTCATCACCCACACGTATATCATAATCCGGCATAACCTCAAACGCCACCTCACCCACGCGCTGATCTAACGAGCGAGCTGCAGCTGCTGCCGCAGCAGGACCAGTAGGTCCTGTTGGTCCGGGTGGACCTGTTGGTCCTGCAGGTCCACGTTCGCCGGGAAAACCACGTCTACCACGTCGGCCGGGTGGTCCTATTGGACCCGCAATACCTGGTCGACCAGGTAAACCACGTTGTCCGGTTGGTCCAACTGGTCCAGGAGGTCCTTGAAGACCTTCGTCACCCTTGTCACCGCGATTACCCTGCAGGCCTGATTGTCCTGGTGGTCCGATAGGACCCGGTGGGCCAGGCGTACAAAGACATTGTGCCGAGGGATAGACTACGGATTGTTGACGTAAACCAAACGCGCGTTGCTCATTTTTCGTATCGGTTGCTGAAGCTAGCCGACGTTTGCCTTGGATGGTGGGTATGGCGAAAGTAGCCAGGATAAGAATGAACGCTAAATTGGAAGATAGAGATGTTTCAAGTTGAAATGTTTTGCTTACTGAGTTGCTATAAATTATGTTTACCGCTGATTGTATTCATTGTGACTTTCATCTCTGAGGCTTAGCTGAACTGAAGCCAAGCGAATCAGTGGACAACTTTATATAGAGATGGGAAACCGCCATTTGAAATGATAGAATCTTTGCGCAAAAAACCAGACATTTACGTATGTAATATAATATCTATTCCCAATTTTAACCTTTCTTTCGCTACTTAACATTTGCATAGGTATTTTTTATTCATCTAATTTAAAATTTTACGATACCTAAATATACGGTTATTTGACCCAATTGATTGATTGATCTCTTCAAATTAATGTCTTTTGTGGAGCAAAGAACTCATAAAATTTGCACTTTAACCACCTTAGCAAATCAGCAAACAAGCATTACTATAAAATAAGACATCGCATACCTTGACGCTGTTAAATGCTGCTCAACCATGCGGCTAGCAATACTGCTGTTAGCCTGCTTAGGTACGCGTAACATACATTTTCTTAATATAAGTGGAAGGCTATATATTTTTTCATCATTTTATTTCGCAGGCTTCATCGCATTGGCTGCGTCGAATTTTGTAACACAAGTTGGCCCACCTGGTCCTCCAGGACCAACAGGCGTGCCTGGTGCCCCAGGTCCAAAGGGTGAGAAAGGTGAACGAGGAACGGACGGACGCACTGGCTTAACCGGCGCGCAAGGACCATCCGGTCGACGCGGTCACACAGGCAGTCCTGGCCCGATAGGTCCACCAGGTGTGCCGGGTTTGCGTGGGCCAAGGGGCTATGATGGCGAACGGGGACCAGAAGGACCGACAGGGCCACCGGGACCAACTGGACCTACTGGTACTTAAGAGCTTTTGATTTAGATGACTGACTATGTTTACGAATGGATTTAATAAGTAATAAATAAAGCTTTGGGTGCCTTATAAACCAAACAATAAAATTAATAATTATTTTTGATTTTCTAAATTAAAATCAGGCAATTTTTATAAAACTTTGCCGCCTGTATAGAAAAATATGCAAATTTCTTATTGGACGAGAATAACTTGGTCGTCGTTTTTATCTCCTGGGTATCTCTGCGGTGCTTGGCTTTAAAATACGCCGTAATCTGTGGTCTCCATGTAAACGAAAAGTCCAGTTTCCTTATTAGATATAATTGGACTCAGGTACACATAGTTGTTACATTTTTAATTTACCGTTCATTGCTAGGACCATGACCTCTCCCTATGATCTCAGTAGTTCTGGCAAAACAGACATCTTGGATGATATCTTCTGTTCTATACTCAGCTTACCTATTTATTTTTCTTCGAACAAGCAGCTGCATATGTTAACTAAACGCTTGTGGAGATTTTTGAAACCCACACCAGCTGAGCTTCCATGACCGTCTCGTCAGTGTTGCTAACGTGTGGCAACAAGTCCTCATTTGTGATAAGGTTTACCGAAAGCTCTGGGCTTTAATCCAAAACATCATAACTCACTACTACACCTGAATGCCCACCAAAAGCTGCGTAGGATGAGACTCAAGTACAGATACAGTATCATAAGCCGTCTTTGCAAGATATCGTGCAGCGGCTGATCTAATTTTCTACCTTTCTTATCTGAAAGCAGTTTCTTCAGAATAAATATAGCCAAAGGCTCGTGTTCAATGAGAAAACACTTTTAAATTCCAAAATATTGGCTCCGATAACGCTACCGATAAGGTTATTTATCGATAGCTGCGCCAAATCCCTGTCGATACATATCATAAGGTCTTTGCTAAGTGTTTCAGAAATATCATTTCGATAAATACATATATGTAAAATAATATCGATAAATCAATCAAATCGTACATCGATAACCACATTGCTATTCTTACCGATAACTATATCGCGAATATTTTCTATCAGTATACCAGGAAACAGAAATTTGCTGGCCATCTCTTATTTTTAGATGCGCCTGATCATTGAATTAATTTTATTGATATTGGTCTTAAATAAAACTTTAGAGTATAGTGACAGATGATCTCTTATGCATATTAACGAATTGAAACACAAATGCCAAATTTTTAGGGGTAAGATATTAAAATCAAACGCATTTCAATAACTTCACTTACTTAGATCTTATATGTAAATATATTTGTAACAGAATTGCAAACTTGATTTTTGTAATCAAAGCTTAGAGAGCGCAACACATTGAAGATACTCTTAACAGAAAAAAAATAAAAAATAATGACATAAAGCTCGAAAACCTCTAAAATCAAAAAGTTCTAGTTAGCTTGCAAAAAAATAATTGAGTACGCATCAATTCAACACCGTTATATTTTATGTTTCTTATTCATCAATTTTTATCAGAAGAATAGCATTGAAAATTTTAACCATCAATGACGGCAGTCTGAGATTCGATATCTGAAATTGTTGTTACCGCACTTTAGCACCTTTCAGCAAGCATATTTTATAGCTCGAACTATACTTACTCTGTGTACCAACATATGTACATCCATACATACCTATATATGTGTATGTATGTATGGTCAGCAAGTGGGAGACGACTTAATGCGCGGTACGAGCATGAGGCAAATTATAAGAATACATATCTACATATGTACATAAGTCGATATGTGCGTTCATATACTTATGCAGGTGTATGTATGTATGTATGTAGTAAAGACTCGTAAACTCGATTTGATGATCTGGTCAAACGAACACTTAACACACGCGCACCCAATCAGATATGTACGGGTATGTACATATATCGCCATGCGCACTACGTAAATTTCTCGAAGTTCTTGTGTGCGTGTGCGAGGCAAGACAAACAAATATTTCGTGCTACCTTTTTTTAGTACCTCGTTAAAAGCCATCTCGTGTCATTTTATTACAACGCAGACCTTAAAGTACTTTTTTTTTATTATAACTTACCACGCTGCCTGTTTGAGATTGTTGAATGAAGAGCGGAAATCGAGAAAGCAATCAAATTGCCGTAAGCACAACGATCACATGGCATAGCCTGCTTTCTGTCTGTCTTCTGTAGCAAGGTAAAGGCTATCTTTATTTATTGCTATGGTTGGATAGGCAAATAGTCTGTGCGCTTATCATCAATGTCATAAAATACCAACTACAACTTCTACAAATTAATTGGAGCAAATCTTCATTTTATGAGCAGTTACAATGTCTTTCACCTGTTCGGCATCGCAGAACATTGACGGTAATCAAAAAACAACTTTTCGTACATATGTATATACTATTTGGATGTACATATAAAAGCTATTAAATTCACTCAGCGCTTCTTGATGAAATTTGAGTATCACCCAAGGAGAATTTATACAAGGTGGTATTAATGGCGAGTTTGGATTTTTGCCGCGGCGTACGTCCTAATGTCAAATTGATGTGTTTGGCGAATAAATATTACAACAAAGACATCATTTTGACATTAAGAAGTACCGCAGTAACACCACCTTGCATAAGTTCGCCTTGGTATCACCTCTTGAGTGAGAAGGCTTCGGTGGTACGAGCATTTAGTGCGGCGGACCTTTGATGGCTAAAGCGGTGGAGCGTTGTTTTACTGACATAGAGTTGGTGGTAGTTTGGCAAATGGATATTAAAGGAATATAGAACTACTTATAAAAAAAGAAGCAGTATGAATTTAAAGTTATATAATCCTTAGATATTTTAGAAAAAAGCCTTTTTTTCCTTAAATGTCAAGTCTGCGCAGTTATAGTGGCTAGGAGCAATTAATCTACTAGACGCTATGAAAAAGCTGTACGATTACTTATTATTTTTCTTGAAAGTAACTAATTAGAACTAAAATGAACCTATAAACAAAATAACCTGTTCCTTTACGGTAGAATTCCAACAGGAAACAGGTTCTGAAATAACTTGATTTCTAATACTAAGCTGATGAGTTCAATGAGGGAAGAGATAGCTGAGATGTTCACAGTTAACCATTTACGAATACTCTAAAGACCAAATATCTAGAGGATTTCTTCTAAATGGGCTTTAAATTTTCAATGTTTCTATACAGGATTATATCGCCAAAACTGCAATTCTGTGGGGTATCCTTACCAATATTATGAATGCGAAAGTGAGTTTGTTTGTTTGTAACGCTCTCACGCTTTAACTACTAAACCGATCATCATGAAATTCATCATCATGGTTTCATTTATTTCAACATAAAATATATGGTAGCCTTTATCTCCATTAAGGAGGCGTGGCACCTCTCAATCAAACGGTATTTTGCATACGGCATATCTGAAGAAGTATTTGTGGTAGATTACTGGAACTTGGTATGGAGATACATATATTAAGGGAATTAGGTAACAGGAATACACATTCATCACAATATGGGTGTCAGACGAAAGAGATTTATTCAAGTTGAACTTTGAAACTACGAATTGAAGAGGAATTGAATTAAGTTAAAGTGTCAAATGCAAAAGACGTCTTTAGTTTGAGCATGTAGAATTCTGAGCTATTTGCAGAGGGTTGGGACCTGTTTTAAGACTAGCTTTTAAATAAAACGATTTAATTAATTTAAAGTTAAATGAAATATTAAACCATGCGACAGTAAATTTTACACACACAAAAATTGATATATTCGCGAACCTATGGATAAATTAAAGTAAAAGTGCGTACATAGTTTTTCTCTCTGACGTCAGGATATTTTAAAAGGACTTTGAAATTAAAAAAAAAATATGATTATTTCAAAAATTATTTAAAAAATTCAGTGCAATGTTCCGTGAGTACATCGATTCTTTCGGGCGTTTTGAATTTTTTTTTTTGTTTTTGTCGCACGGCTTTACAATATGGGTATCAGCCGCAATGGTCTTGAAATGGTTTTAATTATAAACTACATAAGCAGAGTTACCACCTGTTACAAAAATCAAATTCAACTTGAATTATGTATGTATATACTGTAACATAGGTGTCAGATGAAGGAGGCTTCATTTCTAAACTAAATATATACGAGTAGGAGCATAGTCATCTGTTTAAAAACTCAAATTGGGTTTAAATTCAGGGAATAAGTAAATTAAAATCATAATATAAAAAAGAAGTTTAAAAACGTTTTAATTTGAAAAACATTTTTTTGGGTGAAAACACTATGAATTTTTGGAACATTACCATTACATTACCGCAATCTGAGGTGGATCCTCAAGTCACATAGAAAACAATAAAGGGCACTTGTTGTCAAGTCACAGCGTATGCTTGCAATAAAGCAATCCTACCAAGATCGGGATGTAGCTCTTCACGAGGAAATATAAAATTCCTTATTTAACGAAGTCCTATCTCAACCGAGGTCAAGAAGCCTGGAGTAATTTTAGAGAGGAAACAGGACTGAAATTAAATCATTGTAGATGGCTCTTGGAAAGCCATTACCGCACTGTACGCCTGTAAGACGGCTAAAGGCTAAAAATCTGGCGTTTAATAAGACGTTGTCCAGAACCAAGATACAACGGATAAAGTGCACGGGTTCCATGTTTGTGGGGAGAGAACTATGCTCCACACCCTCTGGATATAAGTTTAAATCTGCCACCGGTGGTTATCTATGGCAACAATTTTTGGCGAGTTTTAGTGCTGTCTGGGTAGACTCGGATTAGGGTAGGTAAAGGTCTCGGGAACTTTCCAGTGAACTTCCACTAAACCCCCAAGCGCTATAATGGAGAGCGCTCGGGACTAATAGCTACCGTCAATCCAAAACAAATATTCAAACAGTTAAGCTGATGTTAAATTTTCAAAATTTAACCGAAGAACATCCAAAGTTGGACTGTCAAACTGCTGGCATCTAAATGCTGCTATTGTCTGGGTGCCTGAGCACAGGTCCATTCATTGTTGCTGCATGACCGACCAGCTGGCAAGGAAAATGACGGAAATATCCGCGGTCAATCCAGAGATAAATTTAAGGTCAACGCACCATGAAAACCAAATAAATTTGGCCAGAAGTTGATGAAGAGTGAACCAAAGCTCCCACTCGGCTTGACCGCTTCTTTCTCAGATTACTAGTCGTGGTATGAAGATTATCAACTATTTGTGCCAATACTCATCTCCCTTGGCAATAAAAAGTTCTAAAATGGCACATTTGTTATCAAAATTATAGTATCGAAAATCTTTACATTTTTCCAATCAACAAAAACTTATGGTCGAAATCTAATTCGAGTTTCCATAAGTGGCATACTTCTAAAAATTCTTCACCAGCAGCTTTCAACAAATGTCCTTCAACTATACTAATTTCCCTTATTTCCACCTTAACGCCACTTCGAAACAGTTCAAATTTCTACCTCATTAGGAAAAGCATTAAAACTCGAGCAAATATAACTATATAAATAGCAAATATGTAGTAACAAAGCTTGGCTGGCTAAGTTTGTGGCGGGTAAGTATGCATTTGGAATGAAGATGAAAAAAAAACGAAAAGTCATATAAACCAAGGGAAAAGAAATGTTAAAAAAAAACAACAAAGAAGAAGCTAAATCAGAAACTTTGCATAATTAAAAATTGTTTGCTGTATTTTCTCTTGCTGTTGAACAAGTAACGTTCCTTT